TTATTGACCAATGAGGGAAGTGAAAAATCCGATGGAACTCTAAAAGAAACCGATTGAAGGTTACTTGATCTTTCGGACAGACAAATAATGTCAAAGTCTCTCACCCCAACACACATGTCAAGATGAATTTTCTGCAAGTTCTTGCACTTTTTCAACACGCAAGCCAGTCCTCTCCCAGGACTGATTATACAATTCACCAGGCTAAGTTCAAGCATATTCTCACAAGGCACATGCTGCTTTTGCCACCTATCCACAGACAACCGATCATAGACCTTCATGTATCTGTAATTAGCATCCACTTCAAACTGCAACCTTCTGAGTTTGTGCCAACCAAGTCCAAGCTTAATCAAGTCCCCTTCACCAATGGCCCTGCAATTCTTGATGGAGAGATCCTCCAGCGTCCCAAGCTTGCCAAGGTATTCAAGCCACTCCACACTGCTCACATTAAGGCATCTGATAAGGTGAAGCCTGGAGAGGTTCTTGCAACCCACAACAAGAGAGAGAATGCCGCAGCCAGTGATCCTTGGAGTGAAATTCAACCTCAGAGATGAGAGCTTGGAAGAAGAAGCCAAGTAACGGAGACCAACATCAGTGATAAATGTGCAGTAGCTGAGGGAGAGATCAGTGAGCAGAGGGCAATGTTTTGCAAGAATGAGAAGGCCCTTATCATCCAATTGTTTTCCCAGTTTGGACATCCATCCAGAGTATGTAATCTCCACCTTAGACAAGTTCTGAAACCTTATACACAAACACGTCAAAGCTTCGTCTGCAGGATCCATACCACACCCAACCTTTATGCATTCCCTCTGTGCATTGTCCAAATAAAAAAGCCGCTTACAAACAAGAGAAACAGCGTTTCTGTCGTTTGTTTTCTTCATCCTACTCAATATCTCCCATACTATGTGCTCTGGTATGCTATCCATCCACTGAAAAAATAAAAAAATTATTGCAACAAGGTCAAATTTTCATCCCAAACTCATTTATACCAATGCCCAACAATTAAAATTCGAAAATTCCAATACACATCACGCCTGTATGCTGCTGTGTCGGTCATCCCTTTGACACAAGAAGAAACACAATGAAAAAAATGGTTAGATCTGGGCGAAATTCAAAAGGGGTGAAGGATTGATTCATTTTGTAATGAATTGAACTGGGAATTGGAGAACGAATTGGCACTGAAGAACAATATGGAAATCGAAATTATGCATAACCCAAAACTCAATAGGGTGATTGATTGAATGGTAGGAGAATGAAGTGAAAAATATAGTTTGAGATAACATGAAAAGAAGGAAGTAATGGATCCATTGCCTACCTGCTCTTCACAACGTCAATGCCCCAGAACCTACCAGAAAACCAAACTACATAAGATTTGTTTGCATATGAATCTAAATATCAATCATCATTTAAAACAGGATTTGCATTAGATATTTTTCTTACAACCTCTTCTCTTGATATTTCCTTTCTCAGGCCCCAACAAATACACACTCTATTGGGCTTTTTCTCTCAAGCCCAACTCCAACAGTTAAAAGCCCAAACCCCTGAACACCTATAAAAGTTGGGTGTTGCTCCCTCCACCTCCACAGCCTTCTCCCTCCATCTCCCCAATTATCTTTAATTCCAATTATATCCTTAAAGTTAAAACTTTTTATTTTTATTATTTTATTATTTTAATATTTTAATATTTAAATATAAACTAATATAAATATACATTATTAAAATCCATTAAAAAGATATTCAAAAATAATAAATCAAAATATTAAAATATCTAATAAAATAATAACAGAAACATAAAATTAAAACAAAGCTTAAATGACATCCTTCAACGGATGTCAACATCCGTTTAAGGCGAAACAGATGTCGACATCCGTTTTGCCTTAAACGGATGTTGACATCCGTTGAAGGATGTCATCCGTTTAGGCTTCGTTTTCATTTTACGTTTTAGGGTTAAAGGATTATTGGAAAGATTATTGGAAGGATTATTGGAAGGGTTTAGGGTTTAGGGTTTAGGATTATTGGAAGGATTATGACTACGTACCTGGAGAGGAACCACGACAAGCACATTACACCACAAACGCACTGCACCACGTACTGTACCGAAAGCAAGAGGAAGATTGCTTGATAATTCTTTTCATGATCACTGAGCTTTGCAGAAAAATATTTTACTCATACAAGGAACTACGTAGGTTATCAGTGAAATATGTTATAAATGAGTAAAATTAAAAAACAATAATTCTAAAAATAAAATTTTACTGAGGGGCAAAATAGTAAAAGGGAAGTGGAGGGAGAAGACTGTGGTGGAGGGAGCAACACCCATAAAAGTTTATGATGTTTCAACTTATCTAAAAATTAACTTAACAATTTTAATTTCCACAGAATTATTAAATCCTTCTTCATATGTAACATTTTTTATTTTTTTCCTTTACGATTAAAATAATATATTTTATGAGTGATAAACAAAATGTGCCATTATGTAATATATATTTCTATTTTAAGTATTTATGTACTGCAAGTCCTTATTCATTTATTTATGTTAAACTAAGTCTATTTGCCTTTAAATATAAATGAAAACTACTTATTCTTATATTTTAACATACATTAATTCATTATATTAAGTCTACTTGCATTTAAATACAAAAGAGAACTATTTATTCTTATATTTTGTTTGGTCAATTGATTTATCATTAACATTGTGCTATTGTCATTGGAACTTCTGAATTATCAATTTTAGAAAAGTACTTTGAATTCTTACCTTGAGTTTTGATTTGCTATCCTAGAAAAATTAACTCTTCTGACATGGATATCTCTTATTATATTAGTACATTTTGACAATCAAACTTTTAGATGAATAAAAGTAGTTTATACATTTAAAAGTATTTACTCATTATAAATTGTAATTATACAAATAAATACGAAATGCCGCATTGTTGAGAAATAATGCTTAAAGAGGATTATTAAAATATAATAAAATTCAAAAATATATAATGAAAAAAAGTTAAAAGTGTATGTCCAGATGAAAATAAAATTATGTATATTATATTATGTGTGAATTGACATGGAAAATTGAATGGAGTGCATTGAATGTATGTTTAAATGTGTTAGTTGAAAATACGTACCTTGTATTAGAGATGTTAATAAATAGTATGGTTGAGTTTGGTATCTATTATCCTACCAACTGAATGACATGAAACATAAACAAATTTCCACCATATGAGAAAAATCACTGAAATCTTCACCTTTCGTTTGACCTCTTAAATGCGTTCAAATTTAGATCCCACTGCACATTTTTTTTCTTAGTTTCCCACTTAACTGTGTTCGAATTCGGATGATGCTATGTAACTTTACTTTCTTTCAATTATTTTCTCCTATGATTATGATAAATTAATATCTTAAATGTTTAAATATATTTTCTACTCTTAAATCTATTGCTTATATATCTTTCCTCTAACAATTATTTTCAAATAAAATAATGTTGGACATTATTTTTATCTAATTCTTTTTAAATATTAGTTAATGTTTTACATTTATATTTAAATTAAAATGTGTCAACTGATATAATTAATTAAAAATACTCTTTGATACATAAAAATATTAACTCGGTTAAATAATGAAAACTATATTTAATTTATTTTTTAAATTTAAAAACCAAACAGTATAATAGTATGAAAAAAAGAATAAATTATAATTTTATATTAAAAATTATAAACTAAAAACATGTTATAATTCATATTTCAATTTAACAGCTAATAATTAATATGAGAAAATAAAAGAATTGAGGATAATAAGTGTAATTATAAAAGTAAAATATTTCCAAATAAAGCCTGAATACTTTTACCGCATTTGACAATTTTAGTTAGTAATCATAGAACTTGTACTATGGTGTCACGCGCATTCGGCGTTTGGCTTTTAGCATGTTAACGTGAATCACGTTTGTTTTCATGTTTTCCAGTGACGTGACAATCGTTAAAAAGTACTATAGTTATATTTTTATTTAAATTTATTATGTTTGATTTCAATTTACTAATGTATTTTATTTTCAATTTGCATAAGTATGATGTGAAATAGTTTAACAAAAAATATAATGATAATTTGACAATATTTTTTTATAATATTTTAATATTATCTACGTGTCATTTTGTGATTGGTTCAAAATTATTCCAAAATTAATAATGATAATCCTAAACATCAACATGAACTAATCACAAAATGATACGTAGATGATATTAAAATATTGTTTCAGTACCGTAATTTTATTTTTAATGAAATAATTTCTAATACTCTTTTGTTTAATTAATATATATACAATAAATAATTCATACACAAAAAGAAAAAATAGATGGCTCAATTACCTAAACGCATAATCATGGCAAAGAGGCTCCATTCTATCAAAATCAAATTGAAAGTGTAAAAGCCAAATCTTACAAATGTGTATGTGTTAGGTGTGGATATGATTTATTTTAATTAAAAAAGTTGCTCCACTTGAATATTAAAATAGAATATTGACAAATAAATTTACTTTGTTATTTTGTACACCACTTTTTTACCTAATTATTTATGACAATATTTATGGAAAGTTTTAGTTCAATTTTTTATTCCGAGATTTCATGCGATTTATTGAATAGATTTTGTTATACAATATAAAATACAATTTTTATTTCAATATTATGTCTCCCTTTAGATTTTAAAGTAAATTTTGGTAGGTGTCGTGATAAATTTTGTTACAATCAAAATGAATTTGAAATGTAATAATATTTTTTATCATTTGAAATTCTTGATAGTCTTATCATTATTTATAATGGAAATGTTATATATCTTCTACTTTAGTGTAAAATTTTATAAAATAATAAAATTTATACTTAAGACTTTCATCGAAGATTCATCATAAAAAAAACTCTCACATACATAAAATATAAAATAATCATTTGATACTCTATCAAATGGTGGTTATGCATAATCCTGCTAAAATAATTTCATCAATCACGAAAAAGTTAGCAATCTTCTCTCATACTTTTTTTCGTCATGATCCACCAATGTCTATAAGTATCAGAATCAATGTCGTTCCAATGATTGGAGTTTATTTTGAGAAGTTTGATATTGCATTTGTGAAAACGTGTTCATCGCAAACACTCCCAGCGAAGCTTTCGCTTTCATGTTACAAACAAGAACACGAAATGGAATCTTTGAAATTTAAAATTTCAAAGCCGATACACGATCAAACCACGGAAAATAAAAAGACCAAGTGAGTAGTAATTTCGAAACAAACTGTTTGATACACTAGTACGGATCGCCATTGATGTTCATGTGATTCATGAACACTTTCCTCAGATTTTTCACCACATCGCTCACTGTCATCTTGTACGCGTCACCCATCTGCAACCCATGAACGCAAACAGTGAAATAGTTGTACAGAGATTTACTTCAACCATGAATCGTTGGGTGAAAGTACCTGAGCGATGATGGTAATGCCAAGAGTTGAATTTCCAAAGGGCAACACGCTGGTGGCAGTGACACAGAGATGAAGATTTTCAAGGTGGTCCAATAATTTGAGCTCAACTCCTTCTTCCTTCTCACAATGGATCTCGATCAGCACCTCATTCTCCATCACTCTTGCTTCAATATCAGGGAGCATTCTACACCAATCCTTCGAATCTCCTTCACTTGACTCACACACATCGCTCTTCTTCAGGATCATCACCGATTCTTTCCCTCTCTTGTTTCTCTCTTCAAGCTCCGTCACACGTTCTTTGAGTTCTTTCACGTAATTAATCGCTTCCCCCAGTATCGAACTCTTGTCCGTCTGTCATACCATTCTCACAAACCATTTTATCAAATTCATATACAAAATACTTCAATTCATACATCATGCGTCTGCATCATGTAAAAGTAACTTCATATAATCAATAGTTTTATCTACTAATAATAACACAAAGCACTAAGAATCAATTATACCGTTTTCAATGATTTAGATGATTGATTATTTTAATATGTTGCTTAGATAATTATGCACTGAAAAATATGACTTTTAGTGGCAAGATGGTCTTCCAACGATGGCAAATCCATAAAAATTTAATCTGAAATGATCTCTTACATCTCAACCAAACAGATTCTAAAATGAAGTTTTGTGCGATACAGAGTGCTCTGATGCGCTGTGTTCCAGGTATCTAGCATGTGTCACAATGTGCTGCTCTCATTACTAATGTACTTTTTAGGATTATAATATAGTAAAGTTTACTTAAAAAAATACGTGATTTTGTCTCGAAAATGTCAAGACCGGTCTTCATGCCACAGGCTATATACCACGGCACCAAGATCATCGACCACGCCAGTGAAGATCAAGATTAACTTTTGACAAAGAAAACAATATATCAAATGCGGAACGAAAAATGGTGTCTCTCAAAATGTAATCCAGGAAGAATGAATTATAAAGAGTGTATAAGAATATACTCTGAATGTGCATAGGATTCCAGTATTCTTAGATTACCGAGGCGAAAGTTGACAAACTTTGTTCATCGAATATCGAGTTGAAGATGTAAATTAAAAAAGTTGAACAGGCACTGATCTGATAGATACCCAGAGGAGTAATAATAATATATTTAAAAATGGAAAGGGAAAGTTGGAATAATGGTGAATGGGGAGAGAAATGTGGGGTTGAGAAAGGGACAAGTTACCTTCTTGAGACCGGGGATGGTGGCTGAAAGTGCTATGAACCTCTCGGTGAGTTCCTGTCTCCTTCTTCTTTCGGCCATGATGTGGTCCACGGAACCGTTTCTGGTCCTCTTTCCGGTTTGGGTTGTGGACTTGGGTTTTGGTTGTTCTGGGTTGAGATTTTGGTGGCGCTTTTTGGCGGAGAGAGTGGAAGCAGACGGTGGTTGAGGGGTGGCTGGTATAATGGTAGAGCTATCGAAAGACAGAATATATGTTCTGGGAGAAGAAGAGGTTTTGGAGTTTGAACCTACCATCGTTAGCGTCTCAGCATCTGTGGGGGTTGTGAAGTTGTGGTGGTGAGTTTCAGTTTCAGAAGAAAAACCCGGTTCACCAAGTATCTCCCTGAGGAAGTCCTCCTCTTGTGTGTGGCACTCTTCTAACATCAGATCCCCATGCCTGTCATCGTCCATTTCCTACGACAAAACAATAATTTCAAAATTTCAAACGGTCGTCCAACATAACATTTTACGACAACGATAACATGGTACCTGGTGTTTCTGATTTTACCATTTGAAGAGAGCAATTCTGCCATGCTTGCTCCATGGGAGAGTAGAAAGCAGAAGTGTTGATTTTGCAGAGATTTGAGTCCAGGTGCCTCAATGACTGTCAATGGAAAACCACCGTTTAAATAATATCCATTACTTTTCAGCTTCTTCTATTGCTCAATTAATGTTTTGCATTTCATATTTAATAATCATAAATTCTTTAGTACATGATTCACCGGCAAGCGGACGGTGGGGGTGTGAAAAGAAGCCTGCTATTGGAGGACCGAAGGACTGAACGCATTAAATAATATAATTTAAAAAATTATATTTTTGTATACACATAAAATTTTAACATTTATTTTACATTATATATTATTTTTTTTT